ACTAATGGGATGGGGGAGGGAGGTGTTCCCAGGTTCAGAGACTGTGAACCTAGGGTGAACAATTGTCAAAAGAGAGATGTCTGATGCTGCTTCCTGCTTTAAGCTGTTTGGCAGCTTATAGGAGATGAAGTGAAGATACTTCTACTGTGTTTGTCTCTTTATTAAATTTTCATTTCTTTTCAAAATTTCCATCCTTTTTGCAAATAACAAATGTGCCTGTCTAAAAGGCTGAAAAGAACAAACTTTATTAAGAGACGGCTTTAAAAGCAAGCAAATAACAACACTGCCGGGCACACACACTAAGCTGATGGACCCTCTCCTGAAGGGCATGGGAAGGAGGGACGCTAACAACCTGAGCGCCCTGCCTGCTCTTCTGTCAGGAGCTCTCAAGTGCAGGGCTTGGTAGAGGCAAAGCCAACCTCACCTGGGCTTTAGTAAGACAAGGCACCCTTCTTCCACAGCTGTTCTCTCAGAGAGCCAGGAGAGGAAAATGAAGAGGAGAGTGGCTACCTGAGGGAAACGGAATCACACAAACATATGCACAGATATCTAGCTACTGTACTCGAACACAAAAATAAAACATAACTTTGCCTGTTAATAACTGCAAGATCCCCTGACATATCCCAAGACAGAGAGAAGCTGACATTTGTGGGTATATGAAGGCGCCTCCCCATCGTTTGTGTATAAAAACATGACATGTATACAGATATATAATCTGTATACATATTAAAAACTCAATCTTACCCTTTTAAGACCAAACTATTTTAAAGACAAAGAAGATAAACATTTGTAAAATGGCAAAAAGGAGAATTATTTTGTTCTAAGATGTTACTGTTCTAATAACCCCACTTTACACTGTAGTTTGATCAAGTTGTCTAAAATTGAAATTGATTAAAATAGTGATGCGACTATCGAGGTAAATAATTTTGGGGCAAATTATTTTGTATTGTAGAAGGAATTATCAAAATCCAATTTACCACTTTTATAACTGAAATTTACATTCTATATGCCACCAGAAACGGCAAGTTCTTTCTATCAAATATTTTATCAACCATTCAGAGAAGCTGAAGGGGACGCCTGTATACACAACACCTAGATCCCTCCATTAGCACTGTACCACATGCTATATACATATAGATAGATAGATAAGATAGATAGATAGATAGATAGATATTACCCATTGTATAAATCCAAATGTTAACTCATCTTTTTTATGCTTTTTCAGACTTGCTTTGTAGAACTCAGTACACCTCTAAATGATTCTTTTTAATTTAAATGTAGTCTAGGTTAATTCTGAAATTAAATATTTTCTTGGTCTTGCCTCAGATATACGTATATTCACCAATATTATCCTAGACGCCATTCCAATAAGAAGCAGGATAACGCTAGTTTTGTGGGAGGGCCAAATGCCCCCACCACGGAGTGGGTGAGGAAGCAAGGGGCGCGCTCTGTTCCCACGGTGGGACCAGAGTCGAAGGAGCTCAGGGCAGCTCCCCGCTTACCCCTGCTCTGTGTGGGAAGGGAGAAGCAACTTTCACAGCTATTTAGAACAAAACTGGAAAGAGATGGGGGGGGTGCGTAATGCCTGTAGAAAACTGTAGAAAAAGGCATGTTCAGCCAGAAAGCAGTGGGCGCTCAGTCCCTGGGATTTAATTGAGTCATAAAGAATAACAGGCAGGTGAATCTGTCTTAAAGGGCAGTGACACTCGCATCCCCTCCACCCAGAGGAAGAGTCTGGGGCAATAGCCTCGCACCCCCGCGGGCGAGCGAACACGCACGCGTACCCTCAAGAGCACACCCATCTCCTGACTAAGGTGACCAGTGTGCCCTGGGGTTGGGGACCTCACGGAGGCTCCTGAACCCGGAGGCTGTGGGCAGCTCCACAGATCAGCGGGCGCGAGAGAACCCCGGATCTGCGAGGAAGGCTCCCTTCGCACACCCCAGCCCCACCCCCACCCCTCCGCCGCCCTCTCGGTCTCCCCCCTTTCACTTTCGCATCTGCGTAGGTGTCTGCCCCGGCTGGCGCGAGGGCGCGGGGGCGCGCGGGGAGGCGCGGGGGCGCGCGGTGGGGGAGGGGTCCTGGCTCCCGGCTCCCAGCGGTGCTCCGAGGCTCCCAGCGCCGGGCGTTCCCCCCTCCGTACCCCTCCTCCGCAGAGACACCGCCAACCGCCCTCCTCTGCGCCCCCCACGGCGTGGTGGGGGTGGGGCTCAGGCGCCTGCAGCTTGGGAGAGGCGGGGAGAGCCGTAGCCTCCCCGGGTGGGCAGCCTGGTAGCAGGAAAAGAAACTTTTCCCTCCCGGCCCTGCGCGTCGTGCCCAGCCCTTACATCCCGCTGCTGGTGGCACCTGCACCTGAGGCCTGGCGCGAGGTCCCCGCCGGACCTGGGGGGGGGGCGGAGAAGGGGTGCGTGAATTTGGACTCTGTTCTCTCTCGGCCTCCTAGCTGTCAGCGGCTAGGGTTAGGGGGCGGTCCCTGGCGCCCCGCGCCCCGTTTCCCACCAGACCGTGGCTGGACGCTGCGCTGCCTCCTCCCGGCCGTGAAGGTGTGACCCGGGGAGGGGGCTGTGGCGTCGCGGGCTCCCCCTGCGGCCGCCCCCACACTCACACACGCACACTAACGCGCGCGCTCCCCGCCGCCACCACCGAGCTGTCACTGGCCACCCCAGGCCCGGGCGGGAGGCGCCAAGAGCCAGCCGGCCGGACGGGCCGGCTCCCAGGTCACTGGCGCTAGCAGCAGGGTGGAGGACTAGGAGCTCAGGGACAGGGGCCTGCAGGGGGCGGGCGGGTGCCCACGACCCCCTCTGCGTTGTTTCGCGCCGCCGCCTCCTGCGGGGTGCCAACACTCCTACTGCGTCGCGCTACCCACCGTCAGTAGGGCGACCGCCGGGATTATCCTCTCCATCCTCCCTGCCAGGCGGCTCCTATTGGACTTGCTGGTGGCGGCGGCGGGCGTCTCGCTGCCCCCCTCTGTGCGCCCCAGCCTCCCCACCATGTCCTAGAAAAGGTGAGTGCAGCGCCGTCACTTTGCGCGGACAGCGGCGGGAGGGGGCGCAGAGCGCTGGCGGCACTGGGCCGGCAGGGTCCGCGCGAGGGCAGAGGGCGCAGGCGGGTGCAGGGCGCAGGGCGGGAGGCGCGGTGCCCGCAGGGCCGCCTGGAGCGAGGGTGCCGGGCGGAGGGCGCGCGAGCACGTCGGCTGCTCTGGCACCGCTCTAACCTAGATTTTGCAAGAAGCTAAGATCCTGGGCAGGACGAGCCCTCCCCAAAGGAAGTGAAAAACTTAGTAAAAGAGACACGTCCATTCCTTTAATAATGAATAACTTGGCAGCGCCGGTGGAGTCTGCGCCGCGCTGCGCGGGTCGGGGCGCCGGGTCCGGGACTCCCTTGGCTCCTGCGAGCAGCCCAAGCCCGACCAGGCGGTCCCTGACCCGCTCCTTCGCGGGCGCGTAGAGAGGGGACGCCGGGCGCCGCGGGAAAGTTGAGGCGCTCGGTGGAGACTCCTGGATGCGGTGGCACCGGGGACTTCGGGGCACCGGACCCGGGTCTGGCTTCCCATGACCGCTGCTATCGCCCCTTCCGCCAGGATGTTTCCAGCCGAGCGGCGGAGAGTTCGAGGTTCCCTGGGCTCGGGGTCGGGAATCCCGAAGCTCCCCGAAGTGCGAAGGGGAGGAGGGGCCTCGGGCACTGGCGCTCTCCTCCCCCGCGGCTTGGGCGGGCGCCACACAGCTGCCACCGCAGGCCTGCGGGTCGCCGAGGGCCGGGGGACCAGATTTAGGTGTGTACGTCACTGATGCTGACTCCGGGCCAGTCTGGAGCCCGAAACGGAACCTCCGTGGAGGCGCCGTAAAGTCTTTAGAAATCAAAGTTAAGAAGCAGGCCCGTCGCTTTGCTTAGGGACTGCAGGGGGCGGGCGGGGAGAAGCGAGGAGAGGGCTGGGAGGGAAACTGAGATTTCTTGGTTCAGACGCTCGCCCCTTGGGAAGCAGTTTGGTTCCTCGTCTCCGCCTGCGTGTTTGTCCCAGTTATGTGCACACCCCCTTCCACTCATTATAAAGTGAATCCTCGATAGTAAGCTTCCCCTCCTAGGAGACTAGTGGAAAAATCCAACGCTACAGTAGTCGGTCGAGCAACAGTAAGGAAGGAGAGTGGCAGCTCTTGACCCCCTGGCACTTTTTTTTTTTTTTTTTTTTTTTTTTTGAGAGAGAGGGCTGTGGTTCTGGTGGCGGCGGAAGGCAGGCTGCGATTAAAAGGCTTTGGCTGCGGTGAAATCACCCGCTTTTCCCTGCACGGTTAAAACAAGAAAATTCAAATCGAGTGGGAACGTGATCTCCTGCTCGCCGGCAGCGAAGACTGCGGCTGCTCGGCCCGAGGTAACTCTGGAGACGGGCGGGGGCGGACGGAGGAGCCCGCAGGGCCGGGGCTGCGCTCCCCGGGTCTTCCCCGGCTTCGGGCGCCGCTCACCTGGCGCTGCAGGTGGACAGCTCGAGGGGCCAGCGCATCGCCCGCTCGCCAAAAACCCGACTTCTTCCGCGTCGCCACACTTTCCTCCTCTCTCCAGACATCCAGGGCTGGGCCGGGAGAGAGCTAGGCGGGCGAAGGCGAGACGCCGGCGCCAGCCCAGGGGGCCGCGGGCGGCGTGAGGGGCGGGGGTGGGGTCGTAGCGGGGCCCCCGGGTCCCGCACACCAGCCGCCGCTGCGGCTTTAAGGAAGCTGCCGAGTCCAGGCTGTGTCGCAGCAACTTTGTATCAGTCATGTCGCCCGCCCGGTGACTGACAGCCATGACTGTCCAATGAGAAGCTCGCCTGACCCGTGCGGCGTGGAGCCCCGCTTCCCTCTAGGCCAATGGGAAGGGCGCAGGGGGGCGGGCCAGCTGCGAACTTTATCTGGACATGTGACCCGCTTTTAAAAGGGCCGGCCCTCCAGCTGGCCCACTCCCCCTCCGGGTTTTCATCCGCCCTCTCTCCCTTCCTCCCTCCCTCTCTTCCTCCCTTTTCGCCCGCCCTGGCCCTGCCCCTACCCCTACCCCCTCCTCCCCGCGCCTCTGCGCCCGGGGTGTCATTGGGCCCGAGAGACTCGGGCCAACTTCGGGCTGCTGGGAGGAAGCTTGTGCAGTCACCTGGGTGCAGGAGCGCTGCCGCCGCGGCTCTCCCGCTGCAGGGAGGGCGGCACTGGCCGGCCTGGATGCGCTTGGATGTTGGGGGGCTCCGCAGCAAGGGTGTCGCGGCGGTGGCAAGCGCTGCAACAGGTAGACGGCGAGCGACGGACCCCGGCCGCGGCAGGTGTGTAGGGGTGCGCGGCGGGGCGCCTCTCCCTGCGCTGCGTGCGGCGGCGCGGAGCGTGCACTTTGCAGGGAAAAGTGGCTGCGTAATCCGGAGGCACGGGCAGTATGGTGCTGTGTGCTTGTTGTTTTGTTTTGGTTTTCCCACTTTTTCCCCCCTTCGGCCGCCAGAGGACTATTTTGGGAAAGTTTGGCCACTTTGAATAAATGTCCTCTAATGAGCAGCTCTAACCGCCTCTGGCAGTGGGAGGTCTCCCACCCTTCTCTCCCGCAAAGAGAAATTTTTGATTTTTTTTTTCCTTGTGCAAATTTTAAAGGACGTTTGAATAATATTTCTTTCCTCTGTCAATTGCGGAAGCTCTCAAATCTCAGCCGGAGGTGTAGCGGAATAAGGGCAGTTGAAGGAGATGTAGATCCTGACGGACCCTGCAGGAAGGGGGCTTTGGAAATTTGTGCGTTTCCCGTTCCCAGGTTTTCCCGAAACTCTGGAGAGAGGCTAGGCTTTCTGTGTCATCAGAATTTTAAGGGCAGAAAAGCAATGAAGCCTTGGGGGGGGGGGGCATCCTTACCCTGCTGAATTTTAGGTGCGTGGCTTTCCTTTTAAAAGACTAGGTTCAAATCGTAATGGGTTGCAGCACCATCCGTTTTCATTATTACTTCATTGTTTACCCTAAGACAAAACAAACAGCTGAGTTTAAAAGACACCAAATTGGCTCGTTAATATCTCGCCATTTCTCTAGGTGCTGTTATTGATGATATTTATATCGATAGGTTAACAGCGATCTCCATCTGTGAAGACCTGCCCTGCCGTGAAGTTCTCATTTCATGTTTGTCGTCGAGACGTACTCGCATGGAAATACTTGAGAAGTTTTGAAAAAATAGCTAAAGTAGAACTTTTTTTTTTTCTTAAGGGAAGGCAGTTTTGTTTGGGGATTTTGAGATCAGGTGGCTCAATGAATTAGGTGAGTGAATAGAAATCCAGTGTGCTCAATTCTAACTGGTTCTCCGGCTCTCCTGGGTGACCTTGGGCGGATTTCTTTCACTCACCTTACCTGCAAAAGGAAGGTAATAGTTTTGAAGAACAGAATGAGAGAAAAGTAGGTGGCAGTGCACTTTAGTGAAACTCTGCGACTAGCAATGACTGAAATTCTTAAGGCTTGGTATTTAAGATTCTGTATTATGGCGAAATAGCTAGAAGATGATGCCACTGAAGAGAGACTGTGTTTTGGAGGAAATAAAATTGAAGCCATTTTCAGATAAGGTATAAATTCCGAGAATCTTTAATAGTATTCCGGGAGGGGGACCTACTTCCTTATAGAAAAGCACAATTAAGCACAGGCTATAAAACATACAATTTAAGGTCAAGTATTTCTTTATAAAAATGATGTTTGAGAGCCTGCACATAGATAGTTTAAGGTAGAATCTCCAACCGTGCTATTCCTACTTCCATGCATTTCCTTTATATTTTGGGGAGACTATAGTAAAATTAAAGGTTCATAATGGTTTTTGCCTTTGTTCCAAAACTCTATCTAGTATACATTGGGAGGCATGCAAGCCTGATTTTGATCTAGATATTAGAGCTCTGCTTCCTCTTCTACTTTGGTAACTAAAACTTTATCCTCTGTCAATTTCTATGAATATCATAAATATCCTGCAAGTATTTTCAGTGCTCATTAGTAAGTTCCGCTCAAGCCATGATTCTGTTAATTCTAAAAAGACGACTTAGAGTTTCTTGGGCAACGTAGCAAATAAGTTTCTAACCTGATAAATTTGTTTACAGAAAAAGACTTTAAAAAATAGGGAGGTCTCAGCGTATTTCACTGATCCTATTTTTTTTTTTTTTAAGTCCAATCTTTGAGAATGTTTGCAGTGGAAGTCTTGCAGATGCTAAGTGTCCGTTCTCTGATGTTTGCTGCCAACCTTTACTCTATCTCCTTTGTTGAAAGTACATGAGGTTGGTGGAAGGCAATACGTTCAACAAAGCTAATTTAGAGTTCCAGCAAAGCCTTGGGCAAATTTTTTAATGCTAGTCTTGTCAATAACATGAAGTACCGGCTGTTTTATGATATTGTTAAGTGTGCAGGGCTTATGAAGAGGACTTAAAAAGTTGTGATCAGCTGTCTGATGTTGGCTGATAAGGTGCTTCCTTGCACAGTCCTGGCAGGCAGGCAGGCAGGCAGGCAGGCAGGCAGGCAGACAGACAGACAGACAGACAGGCAGACAGGCAGATAGGCAGATAGGCAGATGGATGGTGCTCACTGTCTCTGGTACAGGTTTTCTTCCAGTCTTCTATAGCCTTCCAGATCTGGCATGCAGCTCACGCTTCTCGGCAGAGTAAAGTGCTCTTCGGAATACTGCTAGCAGGTGTTCTGTGTGAAAAGGGTGCAGCGGCCAAATCATGCGGAGAAGGCTAGCAGCATGAAGAGTGAACTCATCCCTACCCTGTAGAATGTCCCAGGGGGTTCAGTGTGCAGATTCACACTGTGAGTCAAAAAACCAAGGAGTGACCATCGCACTTGAACAACAGTCGGGAGAGTGGCTTTTTGTAGTTGTCATGGGTGGAGATCCCCCCTTCCTACTCAATGCAGAGTGCACTGTTGCCTACAGCCAGGGAGATGACTGTGCGAGCTAGGAGTGTGCTCCTGGAAGCCTTTGGTGAGGGGTAGGGGTCGTCTCCAGGTGTTGGGGAGTATAGCTGATGATGCAGTGCATCAGGCAGAGGAATGGAGTTGGGGATGGAGCGTGAGACACACATGTGCACATATTGCTTGCGATGTTTAATAAATTTGGACCTGAAACATCTATACCTTAATATATGTTCATTTATCTTTGGCATGCAGAGGCAGAATATTCTTAGGTAGACTTAGAAAAGGCACGTAATCTTGGCTGTATTTTTCAACTCATAGCTATGACTACATTTTTTTTTTTCAGTAAAGCAAAAAAGTCTAGAATTAGCCATTTGGGTTCCAATCCACTACCCTCCAACTTTTAATTAGTTTTATCCATAACAATTCTCTTTTTGGCTGGAATTACCAGCTAACTACTTCAAACTTTGTAATTTGATTTATTTTCTACTGTTTTATGATTGATTTTTTATTAGAAATTCATAGAATAATGTTCTTTTAGGTAAAAGCATGCAACATAATGGTAGGTTTTAATGTTCACAAATTGAGTATTGATTATCATATAATAGTTTAACATTTTTTATTTGCACTTCACTATCCATCTGGGACAGAATACTGAAATTGACAGTTTTTGCCTTCTCAGAACTTAAATTCTAGTGTAGAGCACAGAAAAGTATACTCAAAAAATTTGGACATTAGATTTGATTTTGGATCCTTTTGGCATTTAATGATAGTATAATTTTTCTAGTAGAAACCTTGGAGTATCATTTTTTACTGAGGGGATGAGGAGGAGGAGAGAAGTTAGTCGACTTCAATGAGGGGAAAGGGCTGGAGGCTGAAAGCAGTTCTTATGCACAGAACTACTGTATGGTGGGCCTCTCTGAGGTTATAGACTGTTTACAGACTTGACTCATGCAGGATTTTATTTTTATTATTTATTTATTTATATTTATATTTCATTAATTCATTTATTGTCCATACTGGGGGTTGAATCATGGGCTATTACACTGAGCTACTTCCCCAATCCTTTTTAGTTTTATGACAGTCTTGTTGTTAAGTTGTCCAGGCTGGGCTTGAACTTGCTGTGCTCTTGTTCAGCCACCCATAATGCTGGAATTAGTGCGTCCAGCCTAGCTAGACATTGTTTCTAGGCATTTTGAAATATAGAAATAAAATATTACTGTAAATGAGTTTATTTCCTGTAAATATGTTTCTTTAAAGTGCTAGAGTTGATTTAAAGTTTTAACTCAAGAAGGGGTGATTTTGCACCTGGAGACATTTGGTATTGTCTGGAGAAGATTTTGGTTGGGGTTGGGGAGTACTCCTGACAGCCAGTGGGCCAGGGAAAGCACTAAAGGCCTTACCATGCAAAGAGTAGAGCCCCTTCTTTGGGCCAAAATATCCACAGTGCCAGGGTTATGAAATCCTAATAGAGAAATCCTGGGATCAAATTCCAGCTCTGCCCCTTAGCTCTGGGCCTGGGCCTCGGGCTTTCCACTTGTATTATGAAGAGAATACTTTCACCAGCTGTACAGAGTTGTTTATAAGGATACACGACCATACTGGAGTGCATGAGTGTAGAAAGTTTGTAAAATTGCATTGAATTATATAGTGCATAAGAATTATATAACCATAGCCTATTAAGAACTGAGTTTATGGGTCAGAGCTAATGGATGAGGTTGCACGTGTAAGCCAGTCCAGTGGGCACCTGGAGGGTAGGGACAGTTCCTGTGTCTTTGTTATCATAGCAGATATAGTGATTGGTCCTAGGCCCAGGATATACCAAATGCTCAGTAAATGATGTTAGTTTGTGCTGGTGGGGCAGAACTCAGGGCTTTACACATGCTAGGCAAGCACTCTGCCATTGGTAAATATTGTGGAATGAATGACTAAATTTTTAGGACCTTTCTGTTTTCCTCCATGGCTTATTGAGCATGGAAATGTCTGTATTGAGAGTTTATGTTTAGCAGCACTATCACCAGGTCAGGAGTGTGTCCAAGACCTGGATGATGCTGAAATACAGCGAAGGGCTACTTCAGCCTCTCAGGTCAGTCCTTGCATCCACTCAGCCAGGACACATAAGCCGTTACTTTTAAGAGGTGACATGAAATCATCCTTACCACTAAGCTACCTTAATTCTTATGGTTTTAAAATTAATTCTTAACGTATTTTCCCATCACAATTCACTTGCTACGTTTCTGTTTGGCAGTGTTATCTTTGATTACACTTCCACACAGTTTTTAAACAAGTATTGGGTAGAGGAGGCTGCTGCTCCCATAGGATCAAAATCTCCAAAAGCTTTGTCGGAGTCGGAAGATTGAGTTTTAAACTGTGTGTTTAAAATTGTGCCAGTGTGTGTTTCACCCTGAGCAAGGCCCCTCGTCCCAAGTCCTCAGTCTCTCCTTTGACTGCCTCATACTTCATATCCATGTAAGTAAACATCTGTCAGTATTCTCTGCAAATTCTAAGGGATACATTGAATACATTACTTTTATTTGGGTGCCAAACAGTTTCATTGAGTTCTTATCCTGACTTCTGGAAAGTTAGGGTCAATATTATGCTTTGTCAGCACCAAAGAAGGTACATCTTAATCTAACTAGGAATATTGCTTACAGTAAATAGTATGTGTCTTCGAAGTGCAAGAAGGGAAATTTCAGAATGTCTTTCAGCGTGATAATGCTAGTACTGATTCTAACTTGGTAATGCAAATTTATTTGTCAGCTATGGAGACCAAAGGCTACCCCAGTCTCCCTGAAGGTCTAGAGATGGAAAGGCGGTGGAGTCAAGTTTCTCAGGCTCCAGAACATTCTTCCCTGGGTGCCACCGAAAGGACCGATGAGAATAACTACATGGAGATTGTCAACGTAAGCTGTGTTTCCGGTGCTATTCCAAACAACAGTGCTCAAGGAAGCAGCAAAGAAAAACACGAACTCCTCCCTTGCCTTCAGCAAGACAGTAATCGGTCTGGGATTTTAACATCCGATATTAAAACCGAGCTGGAATCTAAGGAACTTTCAGCTACTGTGGCTGAGTCCATGGGTTTATACATGGATTCTATAAGAGATGCTGACTACACGTACGATCAGCAGCACCTGCAAGGAAGCCTGAGTCCAGCAAAGATTTATCAGAATGTAGAGCAGTTGGTGAAGTTCTACAAAGAAAATGGCCATCGTCCTTCCACGCTCAGTACTGTGAACAGGCCCCTGAGGTCCTTCGTGTCGGACTCTGGGAGCTCCATGAACGGCGGGGTCTTGCGTGCCATTGTTAAAAGCCCTATCATGTGTCATGAGAAGAACCCCTCCGTGTGCAGCCCTCTGAACATGACGTCTTCAGTCTGCAGCCCTGCTGGCATCAACTCTGTGTCCTCCACCACAGCTAGCTTCGGCAGTTTCCCGGTGCACAGCCCCATCACCCAAGGAACTCCTCTGACGTGCTCCCCTAATATTGAGAACCGAGGGTCCCGCTCGCACAGCCCTACACATGCTAGCAATGTGGGTTCCCCTCTCTCCAGTCCCTTAAGTAGCATGAAATCCCCAATTTCCAGCCCTCCAAGTCACTGCAGCGTAAAATCTCCGGTCTCCAGTCCAAACGTCACCCTGCGCTCCTCTGTGTCCAGTCCTGCAAATCTCAACAACTCAAGGTGCTCTGTTTCCAGCCCTTCCAACACCAACAACAGATCCACGCTTTCCAGCCCGACAGCCAGTACGGTGGGATCCATCTGCAGTCCTGCAAACAATGCCTTCAGCTACACTGCTTCCGGCAACTGTACTGGAGCTGGTGCCACCCGGGATGCAATTCCCAGTCCAGACACGCACGAGAAAGGTGCTCACGACGTCCCTTTTCCTAAGACTGAGGAAGTCGAGAATGCCGTCTCCAATGGTGTGACTAGTCAGCTCAACATTGTCCAGTACATTAAACCAGAACCAGATGGACCCTTTAGCAGCTCTTGTCTGGGAGGAAATAGCAAAATAAATTCAGACTCTCCATTCTCAGTACCAATAAAGCAAGAACCAACTAAGCATTCGTGTTCAGGCACCTCTTTTAAAGGGAATCCAGCGGTAAACCCATTTCCATTTATGGATGGCTCATATTTTTCCTTTATGGATGATAAGGACTATTATTCTCTATCAGGAATTTTAGGACCACCTGTGCCAGGCTTTGAGGGTAACTGTGAAGGCAGTGCATTCCCGATGGGGATTAAACAGGAACCGGATGATGGGAGCTACTACCCGGAGGCTGGCATCCCTGCCTCAGCCATTGTTGGCGTGAATTCAGGCGGGCAGTCCTTTCACTACAGGATTGGTGCTCAAGGTACAATATCTTTATCACGATCAACTAGAGACCCATCTTTCCAGCACCTGAGCTCCTTTCCGCCCGTCAGTACTTTAGTGGACTCCTGGAAATCCCATGGCGATTTGTCGTCTAGAAGAAGTGATGGATATCCGGTCCTAGAATACATTCCAGAAAACGTATCAAGGTAAGTTGATTTTCCCTTCCTCCCCCCCCCCACCCGCCACCTTTTTGTTTGTTTGAAAATTAGGGCTTTATAAAATGCTTTATAAAATGTGGAAGGTTAGCTGCATATGTAGGTTTGAGAAATTTAAACACCTTTCGGTTCATTATTGTTTTGTTTTTGTTCAAAGGATAGTTGTTTCCCCTTTGCTTGTCAGTATAATGGTATTACCTTTTTTGAAGCAGAGGAATGAAACATTCCTAAAATCTCTTAGCTAATACCCACGTTGGCTTGGAAGAAGCATAAATGGGTGCTCTGCTATTGTCTTTGTAGGTGTTTGGAAAATGTTTGTTTTCTACTGCCAATTACTGTGTTTGTTTTAGCAGAACTGGGTTTTTTTTTATTCAGCTGTTCGCAGACCCACTGCAACTGCATCAGATTACTTTCTTTGTGGTCTTAGTCTCCTTCTCTTTAGTTTTCCTTATTAATTACATAATTGATTGTGGAAAAAGTAACACTGACCCTAAACCTGTTACCCCCAAGCGCCTCTGCTTCCCACCCTCTTCTGGGTAGGTTAATTATATGAACATTGTGGTTTTTCAACATAAATAAATCACTTCCTTAATTGCTGAGGTTTTTAAACTAAAACTACTAAGTGGACAATCTTGCTTTCTTAGTCGTGTTGGGAGTGAAATATGGCACTGTGGTATTGAATTGGTGTATTCATAAGTTTTCAGATCTGTAAGACAACAACTGTGAAATATCTCTTGGCTTTCCTTATTATAGTTAGCAGGTTGTATATATTTAAAAAAAAAACAAGGAAGGAGTTTTAGATATGAGTGTAAAGGGTGGTTCTAACTTAGGCAATGAATACTTTCATTGGACTTTGCTTTAGTATTGTTTTATTACATGGCTGAGATAAATGATTCCTTGCGAATATATTTCCTACAGATGGTTCATTCCTTTGGTATCTAAGGATATGTGTGTATTTTTCCTCCATTTACTTAAAAATGTATTTTGTGGGAAGTATATCCATCCTGTTAACAGGATACAGATCCTGTAGTTTGTTTTTCTATATTCTCTCTCCCTTGTTGTTATTTTTTCAAACAAAAACAAAGCTTTCTGTTTGTGAGTTGTTGTCCTTATCACCGGCTCCAACCTTGCCTCTCTTATTTTTATGGAAGCAAACATTCCATAAAGTATACGCTGTATACTTACAGCTCCTTATAGCGTGAGTTAGTCAACCGCGTTCTTAGGCTCTTAAATTCCACACACTAACGAGAGTCACAAGGTAGCATGGCTGTTATCAGAAACTTGGTGTTTTACTGTTAGCACTTCAATTCACTATTGGACAAGGAAATTTTTGCACATGATGTGGCTGTTTTTGTAAGTGATAGTTTTATGTAGCCTGAGATAAGGCAGACTGGAGCTAAGGGCATCCCTGCCCGCCCTGCCACCCCAGTGCTGCTCCTCACAGGCTCCTCACCCCCGTGGGCACCTCTTCACCTGGGCTGTAGCTTCATCAATGGTCAGAAGTGAAGTGACTCGAACTATCTTCAATGTAGTGAAGACAATTTATGAGTTAAGTTATCGGAAGGACTGAAAATAATCTGGTGTGTTAGTAATCATTCTCTTCATTGTAGTTTTAAAGTTTGATAATCTTGGGGTTTTTTTGTAAATGAAACATAAAATGTTTACAAGGAATATTTGAACATTTTAAGTATTGTCACAAGAAATATCTTATAGTTTCTTATGACTAAACTGATTGTTTCAGGTAATTAGTACCACATATTTGATACTGTAATTTGGCTTATGCTTTTTTCAGTTATGAAGTTTATGGCTTTGGGGATTGTTATTTTGGGTAGAAATTTCAGATATGTGGCAACTAAAATAATTCTTATGCTCATTCTGTACCATGTTTATTATTTTAAGTGTAGTTTTCACATTAAATCCACCACTGCTTCTGACCAGTGACCCATTGACCTTGAACCAGTCCTGCATGTGTGGGCATTGTCTGCTCTTGTGAATCTCCGAATTCCTTGTGTTTTGCAATATGATACAAAGAGATAGATATTTTGTTTGCATCTAAACTGATTTTGTGCCAATTTGCATTTCAAACACTTGAAGTATCAAAGCTTTAATGTTATTTAAAAACGTTTATAGCTTAATTCTTTACAGCTTTACCTAGCATTATTCAAGCCTATTTGTTTATTCCAAGCACAAAGGCTCAAAGATCAGAAGATATTCCAATCTTTTCCCAAATTTCAATATACACAATATAATCATCAATTTAACTTCTAGGCCTCATTGTTGGTCTCTTATTTTGTATCTTCTGGACCAAAATCTGGCCTTTTTGCCTGTTTCTTAACTTCTGATGATCAGATCCATTGCAGATCATGGTGAGTCAATTAATAAATATTGTAAAGGATGAAGATAATATATAAATACATCTAGCTTTAATCATTGCCTTCATCTTTAATTAGAACTCTAAAGTAAGTCAGTCAGTCTGTCTGTCTGTCTGTCTGTCTTTCTGTCTTTCTGTCTTTCTTTAGTGGTATGGTACTGGGGAACAAACTCAGGACCTTGTACTTGCCAGGCAGGCACTAATGCTACAGAGCTATCTCCCTGGCCCTAAAATATCTTCTAATAGATGTAAAATTGTGGCTTGAGAGTTCCTGATCCTTTGCAGAGAGGTTCATAAAGTCAGAAATCATGGATTGATGAAAAATGCTCTCAAAATAGAGGATAGAGCATTGGATTTTTATGTAATAATTTATAAAAAGCTCATTGATGCCCTTTCAGCTTCCATATGACAGCTAACCTTTAAGACATACTGTCTATTGTTAGTGTGGTATCGTATCTACAGGGGTCTGAAGAGATGATGAAAACACTTTCCCTTTCCAACATCATATCTACATGAGGCCAGGTTCTCTTCAAATGCTTGAAGCAAGACCTGTCATACACATTGAATGCAGAAGAAGAGAATCCAGCTGTCTTTTAGTAAGCAAGATAATAACCTTACAGAAATGTAAAACATTAAAGAATATTTTAATAAGGTTTTTCAGTTGGGGAGATAGTTTTAAAAGTGTGATGTTTAGCACTCAATAAGCTATTTTTAAATAAGCAAAGGCATTAGTTTTAGAGACCCAGGCATGAAGAACTGCTGGTCTTCTCTCTTCTATAGAGTTTGGAGGTTCCTAGAGAAAAAATATATTCCGTTATTTTAATTAGACTCACATTATTCTCAGGAAGGAGTATGCTATTCAAATAAGAAAAAGACTGTCACCTAGATTAATTTTTAGGCGGAAAGAGTGACTGATGGCTCGGAGGTGTGTGTTGTCTTTGTTTCAGTCCGTGGGCCTTCTGCAAGAGCAGTGATGAAAGTCATCTGTCTGTTAATGATTCCCAGTAAGACGGGTCGGCTGTGTGCCAAACTGTGAAGTAGATCATGACAAAGCTAAACGTGAAGCCCTCCAGGTGGACGCTAGGCCTAGTTGTGTCTTGCAGGTCAGACGTGCCCTGCCAGCTGAGGGCGCAAATGGAACGATGGCCTCAGCGGAGTCCCGACTTCTCTCAGCCTCAGTTTCCTCACTTAAAGTGAAGTGGAACCCGATGCCGTGTGGAGGTGCCAGCGGCATTACTGAGTGCTGTATACTTTGCAATGAAGAATCGAAGTCAGTCGTGGCTTATTCACTAATCTGGTTTTAACTCCCGCCCCAAAAGTCTCAGTAGTTTTCATAATAGTCTAGATAGAAAAATACCCTTACCATTTACTATTTTTAGGTAAAAGTGAAAGGCTGGTGAAATTCCATTTTACTTAAAATAATGAAATAGTTACTTCTCTTTAAAAAGTGATCCATATTTGTGATATATAATATTTATACTTGGCTTTGGGGAATCGGAGCATATATGTCACAGCTTGATCACATTTCATCTCCTTTCCTCTCTTTCTGTGCCTTAAATTCCTTCTGTGTCTCCAGAAATTCTGCCTTTTTCTACCATCTCTAATCAGATCTTTTCTTTTATAAAATCAACTTAGGATGAATCCTTTATTCTTTTTATAGACATTATTCCTCATGGAAACGGGCTACTCCTGTTGACATAACACCAGCCCTTTATGGCGATAATCCTGATCCTTCTGACAGCATCCTGGCAGATGGTAACACTGGTTTAGACTTCTGAATTTAAAGTTCACTGTTTTAATGGGTGTGTCTTGCTAGGTGAGACAAGTATTAGGTATTTATCTTAATTTATGCTGATTTGCTTTTGTGATAGAAGAAAACAGTTTAGTAAGTAATATACCGTTTTATTTTTCATTTGTCCCAAATTTGAACAACTGACTTTATGTGATAAAGCAAAAGATTAAAAATCCAAGCACTTTGTGACAAATTTTACCCTTTTGTAAACTTTCTGAATAAGTCCCTTGAGATGACCGTGCAAGCTATGAAGGAGTAGTGGGCTTTATGGGAATGTGCTATGTTTTGAGTGCTGCTTACTTTAATCAATAAGTGCACTACAACATTGCTTTAGTCACTTGAGGTGAAGACATGTTAACTTGTTTCCTACTGTTTGTCTTATAATGATTTTGAAACTACTGTGGTACCTGAAATTTCTCCAGCTTAGTATTCAAAATAATACTTTTGAAGTGATTTTAAAATGAGATGCTATTTCTGTTGATTTACTTGCTTTCATTCAGTTTTAATATTTGTAGGAAGAGCAGTGATGATTTTTGGAGAGATAAAAGCTTCAGCGCTTTATAATGTGTAAGATGCTACTTTCCGTGTACTTCTGTAATTTTGCTTTTAACATCACAGATATCCTAGGTGTAAATATTAGTATGTCCAGATTTTATCATCTGAAATGTTATTTAGAGCTGTTTACTTCACACTTAAAAATCAGAGTTGTGATAAAATCCAGTTTGTATTAGATGAATTCAAAGTATTCAATTTAAAGCAATTTTTAGCCTGTGACTTGCTGCAACCAGGGCCTAATGATTTAGCCTTTATAGATTTGATGCCTGCAGT